TGAGCAAATAATCCAAGAAGCTGGGTTCTATGAAGAAAAACATGGCATCAGGATTGGAGGAAGACTCATTAACAACCTGTGATATGCAAATGATACAACCTTGCTTGCTGAAAGTGAAGAGCACTTAAAACAGTTACTAATGAAGATCAAAGAGCACAGCCTTCTGTATGGATTGCATCTCAATGTCAAGAAAACAAAAATCCTCACCACTTGACCAATAAACAACATTCTTATCAACGGAGAAAAGATTGAAGTTGTCAAGGACTTCGTTCTTCTCAGATCACTTATCAACACTCACGGAAGTAGCAGTCAAGAAATCTAACGATGTATTGCATTAGGCAAATCTGCTGCACAAGACCTTTTTCAAGTGTTGAAGAGCAAAGGTGTCAGCTTGAGGACTAAGGTGCACCTGACCCAAGTCGTGGTATTTTCAATAACCTCATATGCATACGAAACCACGAATAAGGAAGACCACAGAAGAATTGATGCTTTTGAGTTATGGTGTTGGAGGAGAATATTGAAAGTGTCATGGGCTTCCAAAAGAACCAATAGATCTGTTTTGGAAGAAGTGCAGCCAGGGTGCTCCTTGGATGCCAGGATGGCCAAACTTCATCTTTCATACTTTGGACATATTCTCAGGAGGGAGCAGTCGCTGGAGAAGGATATCATGTTTGGTAATGTGGAGGGTTGGAGAAAAAGAAAAAGACCCCTAACGAGATGGATTGCCAAGTGGCAGCATCGATGGACTAAAGCATGGCAACCGTAGTGAGTTTGGCCCAGGATTGGGCAGTGTTTCGTTCTGCTGCACATAAGGTCACTATGGATGGGTACCAACTCGATGGCACCTAACAACGACAACAATGGTGTATCCAAATAAAACATGTTAGATAATGTTCTGTTGAGACTTATAAAGTCTTCACTTATTAATTTTTGAAAATTTATTTCCAGGTCTTTCTTCTGCTGTTGTATGCTGAAAACTACTTTGAAACCTGCTCACCAGGCTAGCTAGCCCTACTACTGTAATTTTTAATATTCTTGCATAGCTTCCAGTATTTTAGCAATACACAAGCTATTACAATATGGCAAACTGAGAGGTGTATGGTGATATTATGGAAGTTGTTGTTGTTGTTAAATGCCATCTAGTTACTTTCAACTCCTAGCGACCTGATACACAACAGAACAAAACATTGCTTAGTTCTTCACCAATCTCATAGTCATTGTTAAGCTTGACCCCATTGCTGCTGCTATTGTGAAAATGCATCCCATTGGGGGTCTTCCTCTTTTCCTTGATCCTCCACTTTACTTATCATTACGTCCATATCCAAGGACAAATTCCTCATGATACTATATCCAATTTGTGAGAGATGAAGTCTCGCCATCCTAACTTCTAAGGAAAATTCTGACTACTTCTTCCAACACAGATTTGTTTGATCTTTTGGCAGTCCATGGTACTTTTAATATTCTTCTCCAACACTATAACTCAAATGCATCAAATTTCCTACCCACTTCCTTACTCACTGTCCAACTTCCACATTCATATGAAGTGATTGAAAATACCATGGTTTGGATCAGGTGCATCTTAATTCTCAAACTGGCATCATTGCTCTCAAACACTTTAAAGAGCTCTTGTGCAACAGATTTGTCTAATACAATATATCATTTGATTTCTTGACTGATGCTCCCATAACCATTGAAAGTGGATCCAAGCAAAATGAAGTATTTGACAACTTCAATATTTACTCCATTTATCATGATGTTATTTATTGGTCCAGTGGTGAAAATTTTTGTTTTCTTTACATTGAAGTGCAACTAATGCTCAAGGTTGTGGCCTTAGATGTTCAATAGTAAGTAACTTAAGTACGCTTCACTTTCAGCAAGCAAGATTGCATCATCTGCATATTGCAGGTTTCTACTGAATCTTCCTCCAACCTGATGACACATTCTTCTACATATAATCCAGTTTAGATTTTTTTGCTTAGCATAAATATTGAATAAGTATAGTGAAAGAATACTATCCTTCCACACATCTTTCCTAATTTTAAACTATTTATTTTACCCTTGTTCAGTTCAGACACCTGCTTTTGTCTATACAGATTCCTTATAAACACTATGAAGTATTCCCAAATATTCATTCTTCATAATGTTGTCCATAGCTTGTCATGATCCACACAGTCAAAAGCTTTAGCATAACCAATAAATCACAAGTAAACATCTCTCCAATGTTCTATCATCTGCTTATCACAAGTTGTTAATGAATCTTCCTCCAAACCTGATGCCATGTTTCTTCATAGAATTCAGCTTCTCGGATTGTTTTCTCAACATACAGATTGAATAAGTATGAAGAGTTAATACAACCGTGGTGTACACCTTTCCTAATTTTAAACCATTCAGAGTTCCCTTGTTCTGTTTGAAAACTGCCTCTTGGTCTATGTACAAGTTCCTCGTGAGCCTAATTAAGTGTTCTGGAATACTCATTCTCTACAATGCTGTCTATAGCTTGTGATCATCCACACATAATCAACAGCACAGGTAAACATCTCTCTGATAGTCTATGCTTTCGCAAAGATCCATCTGACATCAGCAATGATATCCTTTATTCCACATCCTCATACAAATCCAGCTTGAGTTTCTGGCAGTTCCCTGCCAATGCATTGTTGCACTCTTTTTAAAATTATTTTTAGCATAATTTTCCTCACATGTGGTATTAATGATATAGTCAATGGATTTCCACATTCCATTGGCTCACCTCTCTTTGGAATGGGTACAAATGCAGAACTTTTGTAATCAGTTGGCCAAGTAGCTGTTTACCAAATTTCTTGGCATAGATGAGTGAGTGACTTCAGTGCTCCATCAGTTTATTGAAAGATTTCAATTTGTATTCCATCAAATCCCAGAAACTTGTTGTTTGCTGATGCCTTCGGTGCACCTTGGACTTCTTCCTTCAGTGCCATTGGCTCTTGATCATATGCTACTTCTGAAAATGGTTAAACATCTTCCATTTCTTTCGGTACAGTGACTCTGCATATTCTTTCCATCTTCATTTTATACTTCCTACATCATTTAATATTTTGCCCATTGTTGTTGTTGTTGTTGTCAGGTGCCATCGAGTAGGAACCGACTCATAGCAACCCCATTCACAGCAGAACGAAACAATGTTCGATCCTGGGCCAACCTCACTAACGCTGCCACACTTGACGCCATCAATGATGCCACCTGGCTGATCCATCTCGTTGGGGGTCTTCCTCTTTTTCTCTGACCTTCCACCTTACCCAGCATG